AATACTTGGCTTTGTCTTCTAGAGCTGCCCAATACTTGGCTTTGTCTTCTAGAGCTGCCCAATACTTGGCTTTGTCTTCTAGAACTGCCCAATACTTGGCTTTGTCTTCTAGAGCTGCCCAATACTTGGCTTTGTCTTCTAGAGCTGCCCTTTGAAATGTTCTATTCAGCTCTTTGACTTCGCCGTTCCGTCCATTTGTTTTAGCTACTCTGCAACTAAGAGCAAGTGTGAGAGTCTCTTCTGACATCCACTTTGATCTTTCCTTTCTATCAAAAGGATACAACTAATATAATTAATATCAGTGAACATTGTACATCAAAATGCTGAAAAGGTAAAAAATGTTATGTGTTTTTACAGCAATCATAACAAAAGAGAAAAGATAAAAAGCCCACTGTGCTGACCTCGTTTATGCCATTTTCCTTAATCAATGCTCCCTTACTACAAACTTTTCAAAAATCTCTTTTAAAAGTTAACTCGGCTTTGATCATCGACTGAGACCTTTCTGATTTTACATCCGGGAAACAATTCTATTTTCCTCAGTTCCACAATCTTGAGAACACTTCATTTTGTCTCCCTTTGATCTCAAGCACTGACAAGTACTGGAATGCCACAGTTGTTAAAAACACAATCTCAGTGTATAAGAAGTCATTGTGCCCGAACTTACTCTGACCAATTATTGTTGTGAAGTGCCATCCAGTTGATTCTGACTCCTAGGGAGGCCGTGTGCAACAGAAGGACACAGCGCCAGCACGTGCGCCATCCTCCCAGTCATGGTCACATCTGAGCGCGCTGTTGCAGCCGCTGTGTCAGTCCATCTCCTTGAGGATCTCCCTCCTTTTCGCTGATGTTCTACAGGACCAAGCATGATGTCTTTTCCCGGGGAGGGGCTTGTCCTTATAACTTTGATCGACTAGAAAGAGAAAACTTAAATCAGTTCTATTTGACTAATATGAGACAAGTAATATTAAAGCTACCTGAGCAGCAATGAGTTACAAGGAACTTGCGGTTGAAAGTATATATTTAATTTTTAGACAACAGTGCTTATTACTGAATGGTCTGTAATGAGAAAGTACTTTGCACTGAACGACAGTAGTTGTTTCTCTGTACAGAAGTGGGATTGATCTTCATTTGAACCAACAATGGGATACAATTCTGCCTTATCTGTCTTAGAATTGAGAATATGTGGGATGACTTTTTTGTCTTGTCTTACTGTTTATTTTTCCTCCAGGAGATTTTTTTTTGTCATTGCCTTTTGTATAGTGTTTCTTTTTTTTTTTAATCATTTTATTAGGGGCTCATACACACAATCCATACATACATCAATTGTGTAAAGCACATTTGAACATTCATTGCCCTCATCATTCTCAAACCATTTGCTCTCCACTTAGGCCCCTGGCATCAGCTCCTCATTTTTTGTCTAGTGTTTCCTCCTGTGCCTTTAAGTCCCATCAGTAAAGGACTTGCTGGAAGAGCTAATACCATTTTGTGACATCATCAGAGTACTGCTGTCTGTCTAAGCTATTTCCTGCCCTTTATTCTTCTACACAATTATGTACAAATCCTTTATAGCATATTTCTCAATTATAACAGCTACGCTTTGTTATATATCATCTGGTGCCTATAGAGATTATCCAGCAGTACAGCCTCTACATCTCCAAAAGAGCCTTCATTGAATGTCAAGCATGTTATTTTGTGTTTATTGTGTTAACACTGGCAAGTTCTATCTAAGCACTTTAATATATTTATGCTTAAAAATGCACTGAGGAAAAAATAGAAACCAAGAAATATCTTCCTACAAAGTAGGTGAAATTATTTTTCTCTGAAGTTAGTGACAATTACCTATGTCAACAAATACCAAAAAAGTAAAGCAAAAATAGCCAGATCAGTAAGTTAAAGCTAGTCATGTGTTCAAACAAGTTGAAATAATCATTGTAAAACATACAGTCCCCAAATTCCACACTTTAAAATGTCTGTCTGATGCAACCACAAAACCTCTACTAAGTATCTAGCCAAAAACTATCATTTGATCTCTCTCTATCATACTCCCAAGCTATGTTTGCAGTTACCCAGAGGGAATTACACAGACAGTATCAAAGGCCTTTTAACAATGATGATGGGTGTGATCCTGGACCACAGTCCCCTGCATGACATACTGGGTCTCATTGCTCCTAGAGACTTGTCCTGTAATTGCTTTGTCATTCAGTAAGAAAGGGTATCTTTTTTAAAAAAATTCTAACTAAGGAACAACTGTACATCTTAACGAGAGGTATCCAGAGTCTTTCCAGTCCCTTATAATTTGATTTAGCAAATGGAATTTGGAACACAGTATACTGCTAGTATCTAGTGGAAACATGGGAGATTCTTTTCACTGCAAAACAGTCTGTGAAGTGTTTGCTTCTTACATGTTAAATCATGCATTCAGAGTTAGAAAACACATGGAAAACAAAATGTGCACTTGTCAGAAATCCCTCTTTATTCCCTCAATACGTATGTATGTACATATGCATGTCCACCTCTCCTAGAAATGATTTAATTCATTTTTGACATTTCTCCATCTGCAACAAGCCATTCTGTTTTAGCTTTCCCACAACCTGCAAATATTTACTTCCATCCTCAACTCAGGGATATGTGACAATGATGGCTAGGTCCTCTAAATATTTATTATGTTGGAAGAAAATGTTTTCTCTTTCTAAATAAAGAAATGCCGAGAATGAAGATGGAGAGGTGGGGCATGCTGGAGATATTAACTATTACAATGAGAAAATTTTCTGGAGAAATGAGGAAATTAAAATAGCCAGTGTTAGAAAAACACAAGTTGCTGGTCGACGCTGTGAGGTTGGTACAACAGAGGAAACGCTGCCCAGTCCTGTGCCAGCCTCACCAAGACTGCTGTGCTTGAGCCCATTGGTGCAGCCACTGTGCCAATCTGCCTCCTTGAAGGGCTTCCTTCTTTTCGCTGAACCTCAACTTTGCCAAGAATAAAGTCCTTCTCCAGGGACTAGTCAGTCCTGACAACATGTCCAAAATACATTGCTTCTAAAGAACATTCTGGATGTACTTCTGTCTGTTCTCTCGGCAGTCCTTGGTCCTTCCAATATTCTTCATCAGCACCACAATTCAGATGCATGGATTCTTCCTTGGTCTTCCTTGTTCCACATCAACTTTCACATGCATGTGAGGCAATGGATATTAGCATGACCTGGGACAGGGGCACCTTCGGCCTCAAAGTAACATCTTTGCTTTGCAACACTTTAAAGAAAGCTTGGAAGAGGAATTGCTGAAACCCAAATGAAGACTGAGCATGATAGTGGGACAAGAGGAAAGTCAAAGGAAATAGAGGAAAGAGCTAAGAAGCAAAGGGCATTTATAGAGGTCTAAATAAAGGCATGTAC